GTCCGAGGTAAATCATGTTTGATAAGGGTGTCCGAGGTAAATCATGTTTGATAATGGTGTCCGATGTTAATCATGTTTGATAAGGGTGTCCCTGGTTAATTATGTTTGATAATGGTGTCCGATGTTAATCATGTTTGATAAGAGCGTCCCAGGTTAATCATGTTTCATAAGGGTGTCCCAGGGTAATCATGTTTGATAAGGATGTTTGAGGTTAATCATATTTGATAAGGGCGTCCGAGGTAAATCATGTTTGATAAGGGTGTCCGAGGTAAATCATGTTTGATAATGGTGTCCGATGTTAATCATGTTTGATAAGGGCGTCCCAGGTTAATCATGTTTGATAAGGGGGTCCCTGGTTAATTATGTTTGATAATGGTGTCCGATGTTAATCATGTTTGATAAGGGCGTCCCAGGTTAATCATGTTTGATAAGGGTGTCCCAGGGTAATCATGTTTGATAAGGGTGTTTGAGGTTAATCATGTTTGATAAGGGCGTCCGAGGTTAATCATGTTTGATAAGGGCGTCCGATGTTAATCATGTTTGATAAGGGCGTCCGAGATTAATCATGTTTGATAAGGGCGTCAGAGGTTAATCATGTTTGATAAGGGCGTACCAGGTTAATCATGTTTGATAAGGGTGTCCCAGGGTAATCATGTTTGACAAGGGTGTTTGAGGTTAATCATGTTTGATAAGGGCGGCCGAGGTTAATCATGTTTGATAAGGGCGGCCGAGGTTAATCATGTTTGATAAGGGCGGCCGAGGTTAATCATGTTTGATAAGGGCGTACCAGGTTAATCATGTTTGATAAGGGTGTCCGAGGTTAATCCTGTTTGATAAGGGTGTCCGAGGTTAATCATGTTTGATAAGTGCGTCCGAGGTTAACCATGTTTGATGAGGGCGTCTGAGGTTAACCATGTTTGATAAGGGCGTCCGAGGTTAATCAAGTTTAATAAGGGTGAAGCCCGAGTGAAACAATGTCATGATTAAATGAGTAGAAACAAAGAACCGTGATTCCCTATAGCAAGGGCAATAGATACTTTATTATGCAATATAAATCAATCGATCCAAAACAATAATCAAAAATAGAAATGATCAGGTTGACATGCAATTGTTGTCATCTGCTTACATCATTCGGAGCTAGGTTGTGGTGGCTATAGCTCTTGCAGATTTTTCTAGAGATGCTCCCAATAAGGAAACATGATTGAGGAAACTTGAATGTGTGAGGGCGACATGATGTTTTATTTCCCTGTCATGTGACCAGTATCATCCAAAATGAAATGGACACTCAGGACTATGATCGATTAAGTTCTCACCATTTTCATAGGTTAAAAATGCCGTTAACGTTTGATATGCTGGGTAACTGGCAATAGAACATGATATAAAGAGGGGTTTTACCTAATCACATGATATAAAACAGACTTAGTTGTCTTTATGTCTTTCATTCCTTGTGTACATAAATCTTTAAAATAATAACATAAGACTGTGTTTCTTTTGTATACTATATATATATGCACATTCCAAGATTGTTATATTGGATTTGTACAACAATACAAAAAAGAAAATGGTGTTTAATGAAAACATTTTATTCAGAGTGTGACATTCAGTGGATTCACAGTATCTTTTGAATTTGGGTTCTTTGTCTAAAACTTCTATATATAGTATACACTCTTCAATAACTTGTTTTTACATGAGGTAAAACCCATTAAATTGCATATATACACAAATTGTACAGAAATGATTGTTGATACGATTTGTTACGGACATAATTTGATATGTGAATTTGATTTGCAATAAATGGTAAGGAAACCAGTGAACTGTGGGAGAGTTTGTACTGTAGTCAAGTTCTGTCAATCCAGATACACAGCTACCAAATAAATGCTATCCTAATGTGTTAATGTGGTTTACTTGTAAACTGCCGACAACCAGATGTGTACAATATTTACTACATCTACATATACATTTACCAGTTCATGTACACAAGGTTTCAAAATATACATAGAGTACCTACATGAATGAGGTGCCAAGAAGTTTGAGTTGTGATTTTTTTTTGTGAATAGCTCAGGCTTTGCCTGTTTGATATTTTGGTTTGTTTGTGTTTTACGTCCTATCAACAGCTTTGGTAATTTAAGGACGTGCCAGGTTTTTATGATGGAGGAAAGCTTGAGTTCCCGGAGAAAAACCACCAATCAACGGCCAGTACCTGGCGACTGCCCCACATAGTTCTCGAACCCGCAACCCAGTGGTGGTGGGGTTGTGGTAGCAGAATGTCATACACTTTAACCACTTGGCCACCGCTGCCCCTGTTTGTTGATGTTGATTGAATAAAAAAAGTTTTTTTTATATAAATGTAATTAGTCTTTAATAAATTACAAATTTGAATGTCATAAAAAGTAACTTCATTAAAATAAAATAAAACATTTAGGTGATAACCGATCATGTGATGTAAGATTTTCGTGTGAAGTGTACAAATGTAAACACTGTGAGCTCCATCTGAGGAGTTGTGTCATCAGTGAGGTAATGTTCAAGCATTTTTGCTTCGGGGAGGGCAGAGATTTTTAATTTGAAATCAAATCTTGACTTTAACACTTTGATGTTATAAAGATGTTGTCTGATGTACAGGTGTTACGTCAGGCTCGGATTGCTGTGGTAGTGTCTCTTTGATGTTACATAATCCGCTCTCCCCTGTAATCCCTTCCACAATGTCATCACGTTAAATATTTATTAACTTCCTAATGTACTGTGATCGGTGGCATGAATTCTTTATAACAGATTACATGAAGTAAAGCTCTGACTGTATGGTCCTGTCCAGGTCTGTACATAGTAAAGCATTTCATGGTGTGGTGATGAAAGTCGTAAAATTTTACCAAATAATAACTGAGGAATTGAATTACAAGGAAGCTAATGTCCATTAAAGCTGGGTTCCTGCTGGTTTTTTGCAATCAATCACGATTTATAAGTTAAAAGTGTTACGGTTGTTTTTCCAGTTTAAAAGGAAAATTACAATCCTTTAATACAACATTTTAAAGAGAATCTGATGATGAATGCTAGAATAATCATTTCAGATGTAGTTTGCGTATATGTAGCCGCATTTAGTATATCCACTTTTACATTTCATGCCGTTTACACAGCTCATTTGATAAATGGAAAGGGTAAAAGGTAGATGTATACTGACTGAAAATTGAGGCAAGGTAAGATCTCAAAACCCTTGAATTTATAAGTAGGTCTATTGTATACCACACAAAGAAACCATGTGCCACATTTTAACACATAACACGTTGAGATTGGCTATTGCAGCACATCAAAATGCATTGTGAGAACTCCATAATACCATAGTGTTTGTATGCTCAGTCTGTCTTTTATATCAAGAAATTCGGGTCAGTAATTCATAAAAAAAATATTGAAATAGTGGGAATCATCCTATTAAGTATGATTTCAAAAGTTTCATAAGATTTTAGATGTGTTCAGATATTGAATACATATTGAAAAGCTGAAGATTCTACACTAATCTTGTAAAGATTCTTATTGTCTGATACATATAGAATTTAAATAATATGTTATATTGAAATAAATACCCTGGTATTTGAAAATTGAATTGGTCTGGTTTGTTATGTTAACATATGTATGTGCTTGATAACCTTAGGAAAAAAGAGCTTTTTGAATTCAAAATTCCACATTACATTTTCGAAAAATAAATAAAAATACATTGCTTGCCTATATATGAGCAGAAAGTTTCATTGAGAGAATAAATAGATAGGACATTTATCCAGTGTTGTTTCTGTTGATCCTGGGTGCATGGCAAACCACTGTTAGTGTCATAGGAATTCTACATAGCTTCAATGGTGATTTGATCAACAAATGTTGTGTGCAGCCCATATTCCCCTACTTTAGAACAAACTTTTATGAAGGCACATAACTCTTTAAAGAATCGGGCACAATATCTGACTTTTATATAATATAGACTTTATTTTACAAAATTTATGAAACAATTTTTTCAACTCATATTAATCACACACGTTGGCATGCTCGTTCTTAATGTGGGAGGAAACTGGATTACCCAGGCAGCCTTTTATGTTGAAATGGGGAATCAAACCCTGGCCACCTTGGTAAAAAGTGACTGCACCAACCAACCACCCTACCTGATTTTAATATGCAACACTTCTCTATCACCTGAAGCACTCAAATACAAAATTGGCCAATTGAAGGTGACCAATTATACGAGATATGCTTCAGATGATGAAAGGTGAACGAAGGTCCATAACTCTGTATATATATATTGAACTATGAGACTTTTAAAAACAATTATACACCACTGAGTCATCATTAGAGGAACTTGCATATGAAATTTGGCAAGTGTAGGTGACAGTATGCGAAATATGCTGCAGAAAAATTACTAAGAACAAAGGGCCATTACTCTTCTGTATAGTCGGCACGAAACCTGATTTCAGCATTTGACGCACTGCTATTACAAGAGGCACTCACCAACTTTCGAATGTTTAGGTAGTAAAATCTAGGATATGTCCCGGACATAGTGATGCAAGGGGGAAAAAGGGCTATAAGTCTATATGTTATGTGGTATGAGACCTGATTTCAATGTGAGACACTCCATCATTCCAAGAGGTACTCATACAAATGTTGGCAGTTGTAAGGGATGGAGTATATGAAATGCACCTCGGACACATAAAAGCACTGACCCAAACCTCCAGTTCCATCTGGTAGTATGTTGGTGCATTAATAGCAGGATTTGTAACATTAAGAACATTTTCTGTCTTTCAAATTTATTTAATTTCTGTCTGATAAGCTTAATTGATTTTTTTTTTTTCAAAGTATGATTTAAAAAAATCAAATAAAAATCTCAAATATGTTTGTATTTCTACATAAGGTGATCATTTTGATTCCAGTTTAAGTTTTAATGTTTTGAATTTCAATGTTTTAAAACATACAACAGATGAATGTGTTGCATTAAGTTTTTGTAAGTTAACTAGGCTTTTAACAACTTCTTAACAATTTATTCAAATTATTCTTGTGATCTCATGATCAAATAAACTTCTTTGATCAGATGAACAAATGGACTTCAATCCTGTGAATGAATAAATCTTGATCTAATGTACAAATGATCTTTGACCTGATGAACAAATGGTCTTTGATCTGATGAACTAATGGTCTTCGATACGATGAACTAATGGTCTTTGATCTGATGAAAAAATAGCCTTTCATCCAATAAACAAATGGTCTTAGATCTGATGAACTAATGGTCTTTGATCTGATGAACTAATGGTCTTTGATCCGATAAACAAATGGCATTTGACTTGATGAACAAATGGTTTTTAACCTGATGAACTAATGGTCTTTGATCTGATGAACAAATGGTCTTTGCTACAATGAACTAATGGTCTTTGATCCGATGAGCAAATGGATTTCAATCGCGTGAATGAATAGATCTTGATCTAATGTACAAATGGTTTTTGACCTGATGAACTAATGGTCTGAGACCTGATGTACAAATGGTCTTTGATCTGATGAAAAAATGGCCTTTCATCCAATGAACAAATGGTCTTAGATCTGATGAACTAATGATCTTAGATCTGATAAACTAATGGTCTTTGATCAGATGAGCAAATGGTCTTTGGTCTGATGAACTAATGGTATTTGATCCGATGAACAAATGAACTTCAATCCCGTGAATGAATATATCTTGATCTAATGACCAAAGGGTCTTTGATACAATGAACAAATGGTCTTTGATCTGATTAACTAATAGTCTTTGATCCGTTGAACAAATGGACTTCAATCCTGTGAATGAATAGATCTTGATCAAATGAACAAATGGTCTTTAGTCTGATGAGCAGAAAACTATGGTTCAATGAAAATGTAGATTTCAATCTGATGAACAAATAGACTTTGATCTTATCATCAAATCGGTTTTCATCTTTTGAACAAACAGACTTCGACTAGATAAATAAATGGATCTCTTTAACAAAAGTTTTGATCTGATGAGCAAGTCACTTTGATTGTTTAAACAAATTAAAACTTGATCCAATGATCAAATAAATATTTATGAATAAATGAAATTTTACATTATGAACAAATAGATCTTATTCTGAAAAACAAAATGCTCTTCTAAAAATGAATGTGATTCATGAACAAATACAGTTTAACTCGTGACCAAATATATCTTGAGTTACTGAATATGGAAAAATAAACGGACTTTAATCTCATTAAAAATAGATTTTGATCCGATAAACAAGTCACTTTGATATTATGACCAAATAGATTTTGATCTGGTAACTAAATAGACTTTGATCTCGTGACCAAATAGACTTTGATCTCGTGATCAAATAGACTTTGATCTGGTGACCAAATAGACTTTGATCTGGTGACCAAATAGACTTTGATCTCGTGACCAAATAGACTTTGATCTCGTGACCAAATAGACTTTGGTCTCTTGATTAGACTTTGACCTGATGAACAAGTGAACTGTGCTCTCATGAACAAATAAAATGTGATTTTAGGAACAAATGCACTTTAACCTTGTGAAAAATGGACTTTGATCTAATATTGTATAAGCTTTGATCTGATGAACACACAAACTTTGACCTGATAATGAATAAATGGACTTTGATCTCATTTTAAAAAATGTGTTGTCATGGAACTGAGTGAAGTCGAACTGAATACTCTTTAAACTATTCTTTTTTTTGTATCTTCTTTTTTTTTTTTTTTTTAGATTTTATGAACAGATAATTTGTTTTTGGAATTCTTGTCATAAATAGTTGTTGATGATGAACAAAGCAACTTTTATCTGATGAACAAATATAGGCTTTGATCTGAAAATCAAATAGGTTTTGATCTTTTGAACAAATAGACCAGATAAATGAGCTTTGATCTCATGAAAATTAGATTTTGATCTGATGAACAAATTCACTTTGATCGTGTGAACATTTGGATTTTGATCTCATGATCAGATAGATTTTTATGAAAAATGAACTTTTACATCATTAACAAAAAGATCTTCATCTGATGAACACTTGATAACTCGATCAACAAAGATGAATTTAAGTTACTGATTTTATGAACAAATAGACTTAAAATAGACATGATAATTACATTTGCTCTGATCTCATATATAGGCTGAGTAAATGCATTTTGTTTTATGAATAAATTATAATTTGACCTGATAAGCATACACTTTGATCTACTGACCAAATAGGATTCTATTTGACTGGAGTAAAACTTGGATGTAAATAAACTTTTACCAAATATATGAATTTATTTAACCTTCTTTTGAAATAGACTTTAATCTAATGACTATTTATTTATTTAATATCCCCCCTGCAAACGAGAAAGAAAGGTTTATTATAAAACAACAATCCAACACAAAGTTGGAATTTATTACAGTGTATTCATATTTTGTACAAAGAATACAATGTCAATAAATGTATACTAACATGTGTATAACTAACGGTAATTGATTTAACACGTGAACCCCTAGGGTCATAATAATTTAATCGGGCCTTTATTTGATACGCCCGCCTCCAACACCTGAACCGTCCAATTAGGTGACCCGAGGGCGGGCACCTACCAATGCGGGTTCAGTGCCTCCTAGGTAACTCTGTAAACAAGATGGCGACCATGTGCGTTCAGCACGAGTAGTGTTTAATTATTAACAAGGACGTTTACTAACAAGTCACTCCGGAATATGTTCATGAACGGAATTTAAACAGATCAGAGAATGGAGAAACCAAAATCTCCACGGCCTTCAATGTCAACGCGGGGCCGTGCAGGTAGCACGGTTGAGATGAAGAACAAATCTCGTTTGGCTGCCCTAGCACCTGGGGAAAATCTGAAAGAAAAACAGGTAAGATTAGATACAGGTGTTCTAATGACAGGTTGCGTTTAATGACAACAGACGACACGACGTGTTGTTAAGATGATCTTCAGTTGTACATGCACATTTTTATTGTACAGTTTTTAGGAGATAAACACTAATTGGACCTATTGATTAATTGCAAGTCCAAGCAAAACATGTCATGGATTTATTTCATAATCTAAATAAAAACGTAGACTTGACATTTTAGATTAGCTGTGACTCAGTTGTGTTCATTGGAACCCATTGTATTTTTTTATAAAGAATTAATTTTTCATCAATAAATGTCGTATAATTATTAAAATTCTATTAGTCCTTTTTTAGCATTTTTTTATTTTATTAAGTTACATTAAAATACAATATCGGAACTGATTTATCTGTATATCATATCCTGTTAATAAATTAAAATCAGACAATTTTATATTACAACATGTGTTTTTTTCCATAATATTTCTGGAAGAAATGTACCATTCTGTTTCAAGCTAGCTTATCTTTATATGATCAAAGCTACCTGTCACACAGATGTAGGTCCCATCAGGGGCCATATATCACAAATCTGTATTATTTATCTTTATGATCCAGATTTGTATATTCAAAGGATAGAGTAGTAATAAGACTCTTAACACATTCACATAAAACTCCCCGATTACTGTCCCACTCGGTCGAACACAGATAATTATGGGCTTTTTACCTTTCACTTAAAGGTCCATAAGCCCAATTTCGTGTTCAATCATTGTTAAGTGTTTATATTCAGGCAGCCATATTGACATTGTTACTTTATCGTATATAAAATATGCCGCCAAATCAGGGGTAAAATGAGCCTTGCTTTTTGCCTTAACGCATGAACTAATCCGCTAAGCTGATAAAAGATCTTTTCAATTCAAGATTTTCAGATTAAGATTACGACCATATTAATACTGTATATTTGTTATAAAAGTCAGATATGTTTTGTTGATAAGGTGTATGACATGCTAATCAAAATAAACAAACCATTAGTACATGTAATAAGTTATATATACATCATAGGTAACAGTTGTAGGTTACTTGTTTATGTTATATATATGGTATGACATTTTAAATTAAAATAAATGCACCATAGTTTTTTGGTCACAAAAAATCTTTTAATTTCCACTATGTGTCATACTTTTATTTGTTAAGTAAGAATTACCAGGTATTCTAGATTCTTTTTTCATGGTAATTGATGGCTATAGGCTTGATGATATTTAGAATAATTTAACTCACATAACATTATCTTGCAGTGAATCAAACCAAAACTGGGTTATAGTAAGAAACGAGAATTTTAATAAGTCTTTAAATTGATTTTAAAAAAACTTCATTGAAAATGGTGAAATAAATTTGCATATATTTGTAATCGCCTGTTGTGTTTGAATCTATTTTATTTTATAATCAAAATGCACTTAATGCCAAAAATGCCACTGAAACGCTATCAAAAGCTATTTGTGGAGTTATTCATCAATAATGATTGTTTGATATAAACACATTAGAACGGTATGGATACAGGATGTCAGCCCTTTTAGAAGTTAAAATTTCTAAAGGTTGGCAAGTGTAGAGGCTGTGGACTTTTGGTAAATACAGGTATTTGCTGCCAATGTGAACCAACTTGTTTGATAGGGTCCAAAGTAGAGTTCTAAACTACCGATAAAACTCGATTATCTTTACCAACAGACATTACAGCTCCGACAAAAGAATCTAAGGTAAACAATAACTGCCACAAAAGATTGGAAACTTTTAAATCTGAACGTGTGACGTTATTTCTACACTTAATCAACCATGTTTCAACTCTGACCGTCCTGATTGTAAGGAACCTTGACCAGTTATATATATAAGGGTAAATAAACATGCTGGTGACAAGCCTAGGTAAATATTTAGCAACTTATAAACTTATCAAAAAACAGGGAGACTGTATCACCAGACCTAGTTACAAACAGATATCGGTGAATAAAACGTGCATAATGGTTGTTTTGTACCGGACCCCTTTACGCAAAGTAAAATTACGTTTTACTTTTCATTGTGTGAGTCAATGCATAGAGACTAACGATTACCGATCTGTTTTATTAAAAGTAAACGAAACCTTCACGAATAACTTGAAACACTGGAGGTCTTTGGACCTCTGGTTAGGTTTCTCCATAATGATACTTATAAATATATACATAATAAGTATTTATGGAGCTTTATGCAGGGGTGGCACCATAAATAAACCTTGTAGAGACACAGGGACACTTTGACACCATAGATTCTGTTTGTGGGAGGGTTCTTGTGAGGCCAAACAGAGTTATATATCTGTGTAGGGTTACATCAAGAAAAAAAATTATGTTTGAAGGGAAGCATATATGTTTTTAATTATCAGAAAACTTTTTTTAATAGTGTGTATGTGGGGCACATACAATTCCTGTCTTAAATCCTGGTCTGTACATGTATGTACAGCTGTAAAATCTTCAAAAATAGCTCATGAAAAAAGTTGATGCTTTCAAAAAGTTGCAATAATTTCTGAGCTACAATATAGTTCTTGTGATCAGAATAAGAGCAAAACATTTCTTGGTGTCCAGGAGCTGGTGGAGAATAGAGGAATCCTGCCCCAAGGATTTTCAAATTGGGGCGAAACCACCAGGTTTTTCCAAATTTGAAAATACCTGGCTTAGATTTTGAAAATTTCTAAAAGTTGGGAAGTTAGAAGTTGTGGACTTTTGGTAAATACAGGTATTTGCTGCCAAATAATGTGCACTATTATACAACATGGTCAGAAAAGAGTCTACCGACCTTACTCAATTTTAGAGAATAGAAAGAAGGAACACAAACAATGATTTTGTTTGGCCTCAGAAAATAATGATTTTAAGTATTTTACTAGTTGTCTATTCCCCAAGGAGGACATCAAGTGAAATGGGTTTGACCTGATATCGTCGCACTGTAATCGTACTCTTGGAGGCTAAGTGGTTAATGGTAGAGTCACCATTGGTTCGTTTGAGGCTGCCTAATTATTAATCCAATAAACCCCCGGCATCCCACACTGTGGCGTTTGGTATAGGCCTGCACCTGTAGTTAGTCCTCGTTAACATACACACACACACACCTGTAATTTTCATAGGTTTCCCTGTAGAGATAATTATCTGGTTGTAGTCCTGATTTACAGGTACGTACAATGATATGCCCTGATATAGAATTTGTTGAAAAACAGATTGAATTAAATGCTTTACTATAATGATTGGTAGGGAGTTGGAGCTTTAATCGATAGGGTTGTGCTTGTGTAAAGATAACTACCATTAGTCAATGGAACTAACGCAGGCAGGTATATACAGGGTGTAGATTCTCATATAAAATCTGATCTCAAACTGGGTTAGATTTCACCTTGAAATAAAAGAAAATTCCCACGGATATGTTAGGACCTATTTGTCGATACAGTTGACATAATCAAGTCTATACTTACTGGATTGCAGGATATACCGTTTTTTTCTTTCCATTATATACTGATACATGTATCATGACATAAAATAGCCAGGCATATCTAATGGGTTTAAATTTCTGGGCCCCTCCAAGCCTTGGTATTTTCCTTTGAAAATACATCTATTTTCTGCTTTTTCCCCATTTAAATCCCAATCCCGGTAGATAATTGGAAAAGACCAGCTAAGTTCCAGTTCGTGACATAATTGTGTTTCAACACTTAATTATATCAATTTATTTATATTTAAACGTTTCAAATCATCGATATTTTCATATCAATAGTATTCAAAAACTTAAAATGATTGGTCTGAAATACAGATTATGGTATAATTAGCTTAAAAGTTTCATTATTCATTCCTTTAATAAGCAAATGAAACTTGGTTTCACAGAGCCAGGTTATAAAATTACACTTGTAGCTGGTACATTTGTATATAAATACAGACTTAAACTCATATTGTTGCTTCAGAGCTCTAGAAAGGTTTTTATTGTTTGGTGCTAATATATGTAACACAAGCACTTTTCAGATATTGATTACTGACATATGTGCACCAGACATGTTTTGTTTGAGAGTATAAGCATGTCTTATCTGTTCCAATAGACAACAGACAGAGAATCCTGGCGGTAAGACACCTGTATCAGACGTCGTCCCAGGTAGTAATACGATGAACTGTTGCTAACCTGTATCGGGCAGATCTGTCCTGTAGATAACGCAGAATATCAAGTTGTAAGGGTTCTTTGTAGAGTTTTACTATACATGCACATAATATTACTGAGCTAAAAGTTGTTTGAAATTAAAACACATAAATTTCACAAAGTGACAGGTAATTTCAGAAATCAATATCATTACCTTAGAGCAACAGGGGATTTCAGAGTTTAGTAAATGATGTCATCTCCATAGGGATACGTGTGATTTCATATCTCAAAATCATCACCAAAAAGCTCAGTGATTGAACATTTTACCACCACAGAGCTTTACCACAAGAGCTACAGGTGTTTTAACATTTCAATATTACCACAGAGCTTAACCGCAGAGCCACAGGTGGTTTAAGATTTCAGTATTACCACAAAGCTTAACCACAGAGCTACAGGTGGTTTAAGATTTCAATATTACCACAGAGCTACAGGAGGTGATTTAACATTTTACCACCACAGAGCTTAACCACAGGGCTACAGGTGATTGAACATTTTACCACCACAGAGCTTAACCACAGGGCTACAGGTGATTTAACATTTTACCACCACAGAGCTTTAGCTCAAGAGCTACAGATGATTTAAGATTTCAATATTACCACAGAGCTTAACCACAGAGCTACAGGTGGTTTAAGATTTCAATATTACAACAGAGCTTCAGGAGGTGATTTAACATTTTACCACCACAAAGCTTTACCATAAGAGCTACAGGTGATTTAAGATTTTACCACCACAGAGCTTAACCACAGGGTTACAGGTGATTTAACATTTTACCACCACAGGGCTACAGGTGATTTAAGATTTTACCACCACAGAGCTTTACCACAAGAGCTACAGGTGATTTA